GTGTGTGTGTGTGTGTGTGTGTGTGTGTGTGTGTGTGCAAGAGCTGCTGCCTGGACGGCGCCTCTGGGATGCGTGTGTGTGTGTGTGTGTGTGTGTGTGCGCGCGCCCCGCTGCCTCTCGGCTGGCTGACCTTCGGCTCCCGGGAGGACACTCTGTGCAAGTCTCCTGGGTCTGCGGGCTTCTAGGGGCTGTAAAGCACCTGCCAGCGCTTGCAGTGCCTGGGGGTGTGCCACTGGCGCTCTCCACCCCTTTCCACCTGGCACCGGCTCCAAGCCCAAGTAGAAAAGTCGCGACAGAGACTGCTGCTGTGACAGTCACTTTTAACTTTTTTTTTTTTTAACTTTTTGGAAGTCTGAAGTTCTGCTCCACTGTCTTTGGTTTTGAGCCATCTGCACCTCCTTCAGTAACAGGTGAAGCCTGCTCCTATCTGCCCCATTCTTTATGAGCTTCTGGGGCGCCGGGTAAGCAGAGTTGCCTCCATCACAGAGATAAGGGTGCTGGAGGCATCCCAGCTGCCCGGTCAGGATCAGAATGAGGACTGGGACTTCACCTCCGTGCCAGGCGAAAGGACATGCAAAAACCAAGAAATAACAAGACAAATGTGATCGAGAAGAGTATTTTGGTATGCTATTTTAGGTTGCTATCAAAGAGAAAGATCCACAACGAAATATCACAATTTTAGATGAAGACCGGTCCCAACAGTCCTTCCATGTCCTAACAGAAACGTGTCCCTTTATATACATACTTGTAAATATTAAAAAATTGTTAGTAATCAGTCATACATTTGGGAGGATATAAAGAAAATACTTCTAAAATGAGAGTTTTAACACCCCTAATTTTCAAAGATGCAGAATGTTTTCCTGATTACCTTTAATGTTGTGAAAGAAATTGTTGATTGTTGTTATGACATTGATTTTGGGGATGATTTGTCACACAACAATAAATAACCAGAATAGATAAATTTCCAGATCATTTAAAAAAATGCCTTCCAAAAGGCCCAGCTCGCGTTCCTTGACAAGCTCCACCTACCTTTTCAAGGCCCCACCCACTTCCCTGTGCGGCCCCACCCACTTCCTTGTGAGGCCCCACCCACTTCCCTGTGAGGCCCCACCCACCGTCTAGCTCACCTCCCACTTTCTTTGGGAGGCCCCGCCTTCTCCCTCGCTCCCTGCCCCTTTCCCATGCTTACATTGTATACGTTCACGATGTTTTCATTCAATGGGCTCTTGTACTGGACGATGGCTTTTAGGGTCTGCATCATGTTCTCTGCATTCTGAAAAAAAGTTTTACATGGTTGTCATAGCAACTCAGCCCTGGGAAAAACTAAAGCTGGATGCAAGTCCTAAACTCCCTCCAACAACAACCCTGGCCTCTTCCTCCTGCCCAATGAAAAACCTTGTGAAACAACCCCATTTGAGGATATTTGCAGTGAGTCTCGTTAGCTTCCTCCAGCTAAGGCAGATGAAGATAACAGCCAGCTGTGACAGCACTCTTGGGCTGCATCCTGCTGCAGAGGGCCATGGCTCTGGCTTGCGGTCCCTTCCTTGCAGTGTGATGCAGCCCGGGTACAGCTAACCTAGCTGCATGAAGGTGGATAGAACCTGAAAGTTTCAGAACTCTACCTACATGTTAGAATCAGAAGGTGGGGGAGGCCAGACCTGTGGGATTCTTACACCTGTTCTTGCAAAGAAAGACCTGTGTGTCTAGGACCTTCCTAGGCAATCCAGTGAAAGTCGCTGCCAATACCCAGTATCCTGACTTTGATTACAACCATGTTTCTGGCATGGATTGAAGAGAACAGATGACAGAAGTGCTTACAACAGATAATAACTGAGCAAACGTTTGCCAGAAAGAGAAAACAGACACCCAAAGAGCCCAGAACAGTCAATAGCTTGGGATGTTTGAGGAATATAAACAGTGGTGGATGACCAGGAGGGGGAGGGAGAGAGAGGGACAGTGGGGGAGAGGAGAGGACAGAGAGAGCCAGCTGCCATGCCTTGGAGCATGGCAAAGAGAGGGGGTGAGTTTATTCTGAAGGAGGCAGGAAGCGCTGGTGAGTAGGAGGGTTATAGGAATATCAGCCCAAATCAAGATTGCCAAGTGGAGGGAGGAGAGGAGTGTTAGAGTTTGAATCTCCCACAGAGCACAACGGACCATCATATCTTCACAAACTGCACCTTCAGCAAAGGAAAGAGACAGAAATAATTTGGTTCTGGCTGAATATACTGGAACAAGCACAGGAATTGATAGCACTGAGACAGCCTTGGGGGGAGGGCGACGGAACACGTGGAATGTCCTAATGGTGGAAAAATCCAAATTGAAGCGGTGTTCATAGTGAGGAGGAAGGGGGCCCCCATTCTTCACTCACACCATCGTGGACTCTGCTGTGAACAGAACGAATGGTGCAGGAGTGTCAGGGAACAGGGAAGCGTCACTTAAGAAAATGAGTTTTTCATGGCTACAGGTAGACGTCCATCCCAAACCAGCTCAAAGGAGACAAAGTGTCCTGTTTCCCTGAGTCAGGCTAAGACTTCATTGAGGCTGGAAAGTGTCCTCACTACAGAAAGGGTAAAATGAGGGAAAACGTGACCAGCCATGGTCAGAGCTGTCTGCCGTCATTGACAAGACACACCTTGACTCCAGGAACCTGAGAGAAGATAAATGGCTAACCCTGAAATGAGGACATTCAGTGTCAAAGCCAGCCACGTGTCCTGGGGCTGAGTGGTGGATCTGGTCCCCCAGGTTCAGCCCTATGGATGCCCCTTCCCTTTGGGCCTCCTGCCAAAAGTGGTTCGGGAAAGGCAGCTCATTCAAACACAAACCATCAGAGAAGTTTCTTCAGTACCCCTACAAAGACACCTCAAGAAGCAAAAATTAAGACGAGTCAAATTTCACTGTAGAGAAAGAAAAGTTGTAAGTAGTCAGAGGAGACAAGTCTGGTGTCTTTGATCCACCACCACCACTTTGCAGGACTCTACTCTTGTGGGGAACACTTAACCTGTGCCTGGGACAAGCCCCTTCACCCCAGCTTATCATTAGGATCTACCTGGGAGCAAAAAGACACCTCCTCAGAGCCCAGAGGTCGCCCTGGTGGTTGGAGGGAAGCCCAGGGTGGGGATTTACCGAGAGGATTTTCTTTAGCTGTATGTCATTTTCAACCAGCAGGATGTCCACCTTGGCCTGAGTAATGACGTACTGACAGGCATCTGCAGAGTTGGTGGCATAAATTCCAACACTGATTCCCCTGGGAAAAGAAAACACACACCTTAAGGTTAGAGCGTTCTGGAGGGTGGGAGAGGGGAACGGGCTGTAGCAAGCCCAGGTGAAAACTGCCCCCTTCACAACGCAGCAAATACGACAGCAGGAAACAGGAGAGCCATGAGAGCATGGTGTTGTGGCCACGATGCCATGGGACCCTCACACGCCGCATCGACAGTGGCAGAAATGGGACTCAGTGCAGGGAGTGCACTCGCTCAGGTCCCGCAGCCAGTAAGTGACAGGGAGACTTAGGTGGCCCCCAAACTCCTGTGCTTCCCTCCACATCTTGCTGCTTCTTTTAACCATTCTGTCTTGGTTGCATTTTGCATTTCCCCAAACACTAAGGACAAGTAGCATCTTTCCAAGAGCTCACTGGCTGCTTCCTTGGTGATAGTTCTGTCTGAGCTTTTTGCCTGTTTAAACTCTGCTTGTCTGGTCATGACAGGTTATAGAAGCGCCTCATATCAACGAGGCCTTACGTGTTGTATTGCAGCTACTAGCCCTCTGTCAGACGGACTGGTTTGTGGTCTGTGCAGCCTGCTAACCCGAGGTGGCTTCTGCCATCCCTGCAGGAACCAGCCCAGGCCACCACCCTCCCCAGCAAACCAGAGCATGGTATCACTCACCCTGCAAGGATGGCAGCAAGGTGAGCAATAAGCCACTCCTTGGAGTTGAAGCCCAGTATACCGACTCCATGGAAACGCTTCAAGCCCAGCTGGGAAGGCAAAAAACAAACAGATAAACCAAAAAGACAGATAAGGAGCTAATTTGTCTCTGGCTGGTGCCTGACCATTGGTTGTGTGGAAGCAGATACCAAAACTGGCGAAGTCACAGCGGAAAGCTGGTGTGGAGACCGGCATCTAGGGTATGACTTTTTTGGATTATTGAGAGACTGGTTTGTTTTTCTCTATGTAACACCCCATTTACTTATTGTTTATTGTGATAAGCTCGATATAGTTCAAATGTACCATTTTAACCAATTTTAGGTGTACAGCTCAGTGGTGTTAAGTACACATGTCTCCCTGCATGTGGCTTATTTGTCTCTTCCCAGCTCTATGGTCCCTCATGAGGTTAAGTGGAGCTGTCAGTCTGAACTGCACCATCTGAAGCCCTGACTGGACAGGAGGGTTTGCTTCGAGTGGACTGACATGGCTGGCTCTAAGGGGAGACTGCAGCTCCAGAACTTTCTAAGATTCCTAAATGGAGACTCTGCCCTATTAAACACTAACTCCCCTCCCCAGCCCCTGGCATCCACCACCCATGTCCTAGCTCTCTGGACCCCCCTATAAATGGAATCAACAGGATCTGGCCTGTTGTGTCTGACTTTGTTCGTGGAGCATAGTATTCCCCAGGTTCACCTATGGTATCATGTGCATGAGAATTCCCTTCCTCTTTAAGGCTGCATAATATTCCAGTGGCTTCATGGACTACAGTGTGTTTGTCCGTTAACCCATCAATAGGCACTTGAATTACTTCCACCCACTGGCATAAAGAAAAGCTGCTGTGACCTTGGGTGTGCATACAAATATCTGCTTATGTTCTCGCTGTCAATTCTCCATAGCCTCTATCCAGAAGTGGACTGACAGGATCACGTGATCATTCTAAACTTAATTTTTTCTTTTTTAAAAATTTTCAATCAGAAGGATGTAGCATCCAAAGGTTATATTCAATAAGCACCCAGAAGTAAGCCCACAGTTAATTTACAACTAAGGAGTCAAGAGTGTATATTGGAGAAAGGGTAGTCTCTTTTAGAAATGTTGGGAAAACTGGACAGCCACATGCCAAAGATTGAAATGAAACAGTGTCTCATACCAGTTACAAAAAAGTAACTCAAAATGGATTAAAGACTTGGATATAAGGTCCAGAACTATAAAATGCATAGGAAAAAATACAGGCAAACCCTCCACTTGTGCCCTTGTGCCAGCGTTTCCCACCGTGTGTCAAGGTTGGTCTGTATAACTGACAGAACATGGGAGAAATAACAGTATGTCTGCTGGGATTAGATTAGATAAGATGTCAAGGCACCTAGCTCTTTCATATCTCTCATCTCTCACTGTTTCTGGAGGAAGCCAGCTGCCATATTGTGAGAATACTCCAGCAACCCCACCCAGGGAGCAAGAAGCTGCAGTCTCCCCTTAGAGCCAGCCATGTCAGTCCACTCGAAGCAAACCCTCCTGTCCAGTCAGGGCTTCAGATGGTGCAGTCCAGACTGACAGCTCCACTTAACCTCATGAGGGACCATAGAGCTGGGAAGAGACAAATAAGCCACAGCTGGGATGCCACATTAGCTGACTAAGACACTGAGATACGATGCTACGGGTAAAAGCCAGATGCAGAACCATGGGGACGGTATGTGACCGTATGTGTAAAAATAAGCACATGTGGAAATTACAGCTAATGCACACATAGTTATTTCCCAAATAGACATACAAAAAACTAGCAATGATGACTTCCTCCATAAGAGAGGGATTCGAGATCAGAGGGAATGTTCACCAATTAACTATTGTATCTTGTGGTGCCTTATTTATTTTGTATTATATGTGTGTATACATAGGATGAATACTAATTGATGAAAGAAAGAAGGAGAGGAAAGGAGGGAGGGAGGAAGGAATCATTTACCTTAAGCAAGGCTCTTGCAGCCTTCCGACAAGCCTCATAGTATTGGTTGAAACTCAGAACATCCCACTTCTCTCTTCTCTTTGATGCAAGGGCTGGATAAGCCCCAAATCGTTTCACTGACTGTTGTAAAAATTCAGGCACAGTCATCGGGGTCTCATGGCCTGGCCCATGCTTTGAAAGCCTCAGAAGAACTTCCCCGTCTTGATGAATGGTCCACAGCCCAGGAATAACTGTGAACAGTTAGCAAGATTGGGTGGCAAATGTTTTTATTCATTTCATAACTTGAGGGGTCTTCTTGTACCTAAAATGCTGGAGGTTGAGTGCCTCCCATTCTTGAAGGGAAATCTCATGATCAACACTCATCTGTTCCAGCTTCTTTTTCTTATTTTGGCCTTACCCCTTTCTCAACAATGTATTATGAAAATCAATTTCAAGCAAATGAAACAGTTGAACAGACTGATTCTAAACACCCTCTTACCACCTTGATGCCGCACCTTCTGGCATTTTGCTGTATTTTCTTCATTACATGTGGACTGCCCTCCTCCATCCGATTTCCTGATGCATTTCAAAGCAAGCTGCTTGTCTGTCCCCTTCAACCTTGAAATTACATCTGCACTGTATTTATGTGTGGTTCCTGGGCGTAACCCACACAGGCCTACCATCCTAACAGAGAAGCGCCCACGTGTTGCAAATAATACAAATGGATCTTTGGAGGAGCAAGTGGCTTGCCCAGTGTCACGTAGCTAATAGAGCTCAGTTTTGAATTAAATGACCTGATGACTGCTCACCTGTGCAAGAGTAGAAACACCCCTCCTCACACCTCCTCAGGTTCAGGCCGCTCAGCCAAGGAATGACTGAGTAATGAGTCTCTGAATCCAGGTTGTGAAAAACCTTGGCCATGGCGGTATACTATCTCTTGCCCATAACTTACCTTCTGGTTCACTCATATCTGCTTCAAGGTCCTCACCCGCCTCAATTCTTGAGTTGTTGGGAGATCAACACTTCCAGGTATGCAGAAACCATTCTTCACAGTACTGCAAAGCACAAAGCATGGATTTAACTGACAAAAATGTCACAGGGCGCTGAGGTCAACTCCCATCCCCTGGTCCTGTCTGCCTACAGTCCTGGGATCACAGAATCACTCTTGTCTTGGACCTCAGTGTAGAGGAGAGAGATTCATAGGCCAGCAATAAAGTCCAGAGGTCTTTGAGTCTGTGAGTTTCCAAGAGTCTCTTAAATAGATAGAAAATAGGGGCCAGGCTTTTATGTTCTCCTGTGTGTGAGAATATTTTTTGAAGTGTTCCAAGGAAAAGAAAGTCTCAGGGGAGATTTCTCATCAGTCTTAGAGATACTGTAACAGGAAAACCCAAAGGGAATAAAGCAAAAAAAGAGTAAAAATTTTGCTGATTATTTTTCACATGGCAAAGCTTACTAAAAACAGAATCAAAAGATCAATTATAAAGTATGGGAAAACCCATCTAATGAAAATAGGAAAAACCCATCTGATAGATTAAGGTCTAACGTCCTTCATATGTAAAGAATGCTGATGAATTAATAAAAAGAATACTAATAGTCCTGTGGGAAAATGGCAAGGCATGACTAGAAAGTTCTCTGAAAAGAAATTTTTTAAAATATATATAATAGTTTATTTTTACACCATTTTGTGCATTTTTTCATCTCAGTTGTAATCCCCGAGGGCTTCCCATCACCAAATCACCCTCTGCCATCACCATAGTCCAGTGCATTTCCCTCCCCCCACTGTTTTTGATCCCATTCCCCACTTCACCCCCCATAAAATGTCTCTGTTCTATAGCTGTTCATTATTATTACTATTTTCTCACGTGGTCGGTTATACTCCTGCTATGTATGAGTGAAACCATCCGGTATTTTTCCTTTTCTTTCTGGCTTATTTCACTAAGCATTATCTTCTCCAGCTCCATCCATGTTGCTGCAAAAGACATGTGTTTCTTTTTCTGAGTAGTATTCCATTATGTATATGTACCATATCTTTTTAATCCAGTCATTCACTTTTGGGCACTTGGGCATTTCCACATCTTTCCAATTGTAAATAAGCTGGCAGTAAACATGGGGGTGCAGGTATCTTTTTGAATCAATGTTTTTGTGTTTTTTGGGTAGATACCTAGGTGTGTGATTGCTGAGTCATACGGAAGCTCCCTGTTTAGCAGTTTGAGGAAACTCCACAAACAGTTTTCCACACTGGTTGTACTAGTTTGCATTCCCACCAACAGTGCAGGAGCATTCCTTTTTCTCCACACCCTTGTCAACATTTGTTGTTGCTAGTTGTTTTAAGGTGTGCCATTCTCACTGGGGTGAGGTGGTATCTCATTGTGGTTTTAATTTGCATCTCCCTTATTACAAGTGATGTTGAACATTTTTTCATATTCTTGTTGCATTTCCTCTTTGGAGAGTGTCTTTTTAGCTCACCTGCCCATTTTTTGATGGGGTTGTGTACTTTATTTTTGTTGAGTTTCATCAGTTCTTTGTATATCTTTGTGATCAATCAATCCTTTATCACTTGTTTTGTGTAAGAAAATTTTTTTCCCAATCAGTGAGATGTCTGTTTGTCTTTTGTAATGTCTCTTTTGCTGTACAGAAGCTCTTTAACTTGAGCAGTCCCATCTATTTATCCTTGCCTTCACTATCATTGCACTGGGTGCTCTATCTTTAAAGATGTCGCTGAAGTGTATATCGTGTAGTGTTTGGCCCCAAAAAGAAAATTTTAAATGACTTTCAAAAGCAGAAAAACATGCACCATCATCTCAGTCATGAGAGAAATACAATACAAAATATTATGATGCTATTTTTACCTATCAGATTAAGATAAAGAAGACTTCAAAATCCATATGTCTGTGGGAAACCATCTGTTCTTGTATATTGTAATAAGAACAAACACAGCACCTTTGGGGGACGTTTGTCAGTATGTAATCAGATGTAATATCATGTAGTCATTAGCCCACCCATAGGGGACATTGTGTCTAATGCTGGCTCCCCAGGGTCCCTGCACACTAATTAACCGGACACATTACTGTTTGAAGCCTTTGAGTATGGTGAGGGACAAACATTACTCCTTCATTTGTTTGATTTCCAGTGTGTTAATCCTTAAGTAACATCCCTTTTAAAATTAATACAATGTAAATGAATAATAATCTATTAATTGTGTCATTAGATTGTACGTCTCCCTCATTGATATGCTGAAGCCCTAAGATAACAAAATGCTGGGTATTTGGAGTCGGGGACCTTAGGATGGTAATTAGGGTTAAATGATGCATAAAGGTGAGGTCCTAATTCATTAGGGATAGTGAACTTATAGGAGGAGGAAGAGATCCATGTCTGCTTTCCCTTTGCTCTGTGAGGACACAGCAGGAAGGAAACGGCAAGTGATTCAACAAAAGCCAACCCTGCCGGTGACCTTGCTCCTAGACTTCCAGTCTCCAGAACTGAGAGTAAATGAATTTCTATTAAGTCATCTTGGCGTGATAGTTTGCCATGTCAACCCTAAGCAGATTACTACAGTTATGTAAATATTTAGAAGAATGTTGCTTAATAAGTTTGTGAATTAAAAAAAAAAATTCATCTTCCCAAACATTTAAGCATTGGTCATTCACATTTCCTTCATCAAAATTCTCCTAAGTGTCTAACTGAAATCACAAGCCCAAGTTCATTCCAATCAAGGATGTCTCCAGACATTGTCAACTGTTAGTTTGGGGGCAAAAATTTGATGTTTTGACATCGATGAAAAGTGCTTCAGTGGTTTTCATAGAGGAAAGTTGAATTTGTTCCTTCTGATGAACAATGTACACAAATACAAAAAGCCAACAATTGCTCTAAATTCTAGATTTGCAGTAATGTGCTACAACACCAAATATCTCTGTCGGAATCAGACATACACCGGGGAAACCCTAACGATGATACTCTCGTTAATGAAGCTTTACAACCTGTACCCGTTTATACTAGCAGATGTGGGTTTGCTATTTCAGTGAAAACAGGTAGCTAGAAAGGCACAGTTGAAAAATGAATTTGAATGAATCACATGGAATTTATATACAGAGTGTATCAGAAAGCAGAACAAAGCAAGAGGTCAAATGCAGCTGATCTGCATGAAGCTGTAAACATGCATGTAGGGCCTCCCTGGTGGTGAACGGGTTGAAGCGCAGCACTGTGAAGCTGTCCGCAGCCACTCCAACACGAGTTCCATCCCTGGCCAGGGAGGTGACCCACAGGGTTCAGCAGACCTCTCCTGACCTACCTGCTGCTCCCCTCAGCGTAACTCAGTTTATCTGCCTGTTCTGCTCCCCACTCTGTCTCTGGTGAATCCTCTGAACCCCTGCAACCTCTGGCCTGTACCCCAGTGCTTGTATGCATAAATAAATCAATCTTTTTTTTTTAAATGCATGTAAAAGCACAGAAAGAGTACCCTAACTGAAAAAGTCTTGCTGGAGCAAGATCTTGGGGGCACCCCAATTTCTCTTTGACTTCCTATCTTTTCTTCATTCCTTCCTCCCTCTTGCCCATCCATTTTTCTACACTGGATCTTAACCAAAAGGCCGAGAAGCAATGGCAATGTCCACCCATCCACTGTTCCGGTCTTTCCTCCTTGTTCTCTTCTGTCTCCCCCACCCCTCTCTCCCTTTCTCCTCCTCGGCCACATTTGATCCATCAGCAAATTCCATCAGTTCAGCCTCAAAAACCCACCTGGTCACATGAATGGGTGTGGCTGTGAGCCAGCGGAACCCAGTTAAAGGTGGGCCCCATCAGACATGCACATTATTTGGGTGCCCGGTGCAAATAAGATGATCGTCAGGCAGGCAGGCGGGTGGAGAGCCAAACACTGACTGAGTCTCAGAGGACATGAGGAAAGGATAATGGCTTTTTCAAGTGTCTTAGTTGGGCTAAATTAAAGAATTTAAACATTCCTAGTAAGACGTGGCCTGGGCTTTGCTTTTGAACACCTAGCCGAGGAATGGTAACGTGCAGACAGACAAGGTCAGCTCTGTGTCGAAGGGCAGTAATGGGCTCAATGACAATTATCCAAATCAACTGCAAAGCTGTTAGAAATAAAAAAAAAAAAAAGCTGTTTAAGGTGACTAGATTAATGATTAATATTCAAAACCCAATAACTTTCTTATACGACAGCAGCTACCAACAGAAAAAGATACAGAGGGTCTAGTTCAAGTCCAAGATGTGTTATCTGCCGTGAGCCCCACTCTTAGGGGAAGATGCTGCGGAATCCTGACGGACTCCCACACCCCTCTCCTACACTGGCACCTGCCTCCGCTCCAGAAGGTGTGGTTCTGGCCATCACAGCGAGGCTTGGGGGGCTGAGACATTGGGTGCTCACGATGTTTTGTTCTTCCGCAAAGATGATACAAAACTGGCCTTCCTGGAAATCGGCTGGTGCTGTGCCGCTCCTGCCCGGCTGCCTGGGTGGTGGGGGTGATGGAAGGCAGGGAGATGAGCAGTTTCCCACCTCGACAGGCCTAATCGCCCACCCAGCCTTCCAGAACCTTCTGTCCCAGTCACCTCTATGACATCACGAGCTGCCCCTCCCCCACCCCATTCCTAGTGAACTTGCTGCCAGGCGAGGGAGGTCACTGGCGCTGTGCCTGAAATGTGAATGTGCCACAAGCGCGATGGCGGGCGCGTGCTAGATGTTAGGGACATAGAGATGAGCAAAGCCAGAAGACAGGAAGACAGCGAGGAAGCTAGAATCGTGCAAACTGGCAAATGATTACGCACAAGGCCCCCAGGTGTGCTCGGAGGGTGCTGATCTGACCGAGCCAGCCAGCTCTGAACAGGCCAGCGGCCAGGGGGCGCCTTCATGTAAATGGATGTGAAGGGCTCAGGAGAAACAAATAATCCGATTGAAACATGGGCAGAGGAACCCAACCGGCCTTTTCCCAAAAATGACACACAGGTGGCCAACGGGTCTGCAAATGGCCCTCAAGGTCACTGATGGGAATTTCTCTTTCTGGTCTGGCCACCCAGCGCCACAAATGCAAACAAAACAAGACAAAAACCAATTTAGTCTAAGAGCTCGCAGGGTAGAGGCAGAGGGCGGAGGTCCAGATAGCCATAGATGACGTGAGGGAGTTTCAGTCACAGAGGCTGGCTAGGTGTGGCAGAGGTTTGCTGCCGCTGAGGGCACGCCCTGGAGAGGGGAGGGGCTGGGATGGGGAGGGCGAAGGCTGGCAGAGGTGGGGGGGTGGGGCAGGGTGTGCTGGGGCGGCTAAGGGCTGGGAGAGATGAGGTCGGTGGGGAGGGCACAGACTGGGAGCCGGGTGGAGACCGAGCGGGTGCCGGGCCTCCCCGGCCTGCAGGCAGCCTTCCACAGCAGCTCTGATGGAAAAGAGCGAACCCACCGCCTCCCTGCAGACAAGGCCCCTCGGCTCCACCCCTCCCCAGTAGCCCCCTCGCTGGGGTTGTCGGGGGCGGGGCTCAGACCTCGGCCCTGCGCAGTAAGCAAAATGGGTAGTAGGCTGGTCAAAAGGTAGACTTCAGTTATAAAATAACTCAGCCCTAGGAACATAAAACGTGGCGACTATAGTTAATAACACTGTATCACATAGTTCTGAAAAGAGTAGTGGGGTTGGACCTCAGCTTTCTCGCTGACCAGGGACAGTGGAAGCGACGCCTTCAGTTCCTTTCCTGGGAATAGAATAATTCCACTCGGGGTTGTTGGAGAAATCAGAAGCCACACAAAAGCAATTGGTACCTGATAGGCATTTGCATTTCGTAGTGCAGCTGTGGGGGTCGGAGTGTATCTTTCCAGGTCGTCTAGGAGAGATTTTAAAAGTTCTTGTGGCAGGGCCCTCCCTGGTGGCACAATGGTTAGGACACAGCACTGCAAGCTGGCCGCAGCCACTTCAGTGCAGGTTCCCCCGGGAGGTGGCCCACATGGCGCGGCAGACCTCTCCTGGCCCCACCCCCCTCCCCCGCTGCTCCTCTAGCAGTGACTTTGTCCATATGTCTGTTCTGCTCCCCACTCTGTTTCTGGTGAAGCCTCCCCGCCCCTGCACCTCTGGCCTGTACCCCAGTTCTGTGTGCATAAATAAATAAATCTTTAAAAAAAAAGTTCTTATCGCAAGGGGAGAAAATGTGATTATGTGTAATGATAGATATTAACTATACTTGATGGAGATGGTTGTGCAATATATGCAAATACTGAATAATAACACTGTACACCGGAAACTAATGTAATGTTAAGTATAATCTCATTGAAAAAATAACAAAGCAAGAAACAAACGCGCAAAGACAATACAGACAGAAGGCCAGATTGAATCACAGGTGCCAATTTGGCGTTTCCCACTGTAGCCCAGTGAGGTGGTTTCCATTTTTTATTCCCGCAGCTATAACTTTTCTCACAGCGCCCCCTGGTGGGACCTTCCGTCTCTTCCATGGGCCATGTGCGTATCGCAGCTTCTACGGTCGTTATGGCACCAGGCGGCAAGGATGGAGCGCTGGGACATCAGTGGGTTTGCTTTTTTAGTTTATACTGTTTGAGTATCAAAAAGATAGGAAAGGCTTATCAGAATGTAACAATCTTCTTCCCCAATGTAGAGAACAGTCATTATCCACACATTGACTGTTTCCTCTGTTAGTAACCCCAATTTTAGACATTATCTGTGGCTTCCGGCTATGGCTCTGCTCTCTGATGATTCCCTACCTGTGTTATTGTTTTCCCTATTACATTTGCCAAAGTCCTACCAATACTCAGGCTCAAACATACAGGACAAGGGATGGGGACTACACCCACCTGGCCCATGCCTCGTGCTTTTATAGCTTCGTGGGCACAGGGCCATGCCATGTGTGCTGCTGTCTCTGCCATCTTTATGCTGCAGAGCGCTTGTACAGAGAGCATATGAGACCATGGGGCCAAAACTGTCCGCCTCATACCTGAAAAGTTTGTCAATCTCTGATAGGATAATCTGTCCGTGCCCTTTCCCTCCAAGGATTCTTGATCTCGGAGTTTTCTGTCTTCCCAGTTCAAATCTTCCAACCTGGTTGTTCTTTATACCAGGGCCATAGCTGCGTCCAAAGAATCAGCATTCTCTCCTTGTCTCCTAACATTGTGTAGGCTCCAGGCTTTGCAAAGGTACCATGCTGGGGTGAATGACAACCTCCCAAATCATCCCATTCACTTAGAATCTCCCAGAATGGGCCTTCCCTGGCGGTGCAGCGGTTTGGAGCGCCGCACTGCTAAGCTAAACCAAGCTGTGGTGACCTCAGTGTGAGTTCGATCCCCGCCCAGGAGGTGGCCCACATGGGGCAGCAGACCTCTAATGTCTCATCCTCGGCTCCCCTCAGCAGTGTACTTTGTCGATCTTCCTGTTCTGCTCCCCACTGTCTCTGGTGAATCCTCTCACTGTCCCTGCATTTCTGGCCTGTACCCCAATTACATAAGTTAAGATGAGGAAGTTAAGATGAGGTCATATTGGATATGGATGAGCCCTAAATTGGGAGAGACATGGAACCAGTGCGGGGGGGGAGGGGGTTCCTGCTGGAGACAGCTGCAAAGACCCCCAAGTCTCCATCTTTATGCATCAGATTCTTCTGTCTTCTGTCAATACGCAGCTGTGTGCTTTTTGGTGGGGACCATGCCAAGGGCTGAGTGGCAGCCCAAACCACACAAGTGCACCCTGAGAGCGAAGGCATCGTGTGATTTGAAATGCCTGGTAAAATGTTTAACTGGATAAAAAATCTATTCACATCATTTTCAAGCTTTTCTTTGTCAATGAACAAAAAGGAAGAGAGTGAAATGCAACTTCACTCAAATTTTTGCAAAGGATTTATATAAAAAGCGGTGTTTAATTTCCTATCACCTGTCAACTATCATCTTGCCTGCTGTAATTTTAGGATGCTGGGCAAAAATGCCTATCAGAATTTTGAGGAAATTGGAAGCAGACTAAATGCCTGTCTACTAGAGAATGGATAGATGAGAGCAGTACTCAACAATCAAAGACTGAGGCAATACTGCACACCACAGTAAGAACAAGCCTGTTATGTGGGTTATGTGGAAGAAGTTAGACACAGAAGAGTATGTTCTGTATAATTTCCTCGGTATGAAAGTTAAGAATAAGCAAAATAAAGTCAGCATGTCTAGATTTTTTTGACCTAGGTGTAGATGGTGAAGGTAAACAGTAATGCATATGTATTTCTTTCACTTTGATGCATGTGATAGCTCAATAAAAAATGAAAAATATCATGGAAACATTTAAAAGCATTTCATAACTTTAAAAAGGCATTTGAAGAGACTACTAGCAAAAGTTCTCAATCAGAAGTTGTTTATGATGGTTATAAAGCAGATGTGAATTTAAAAAGTCATTATCACGCAAAAGAGTTCATGTTTTAATTAAAGATTTGAAAAATAATTTGAGGCAATTTAATGAAATACATCGACACTATTTTCTGCAGGCACCTTGCAGGAAAAATGATGGGGAAGCCTCTGACCAAGATCTTTCAAGGCTGAGTTTCCTATTTTGAGCCATAGCTCTACATGCAGCAATATTTTTACTGCTTATCCTCATAATAACATAAGCATTGAACGAGCAACTTCTTTCCCCTCCACTTGTCTTCTTCATGAGCTGAAAGTTCCCAACAAACCAGAAGCCACCATAACCGTCTGTTTAGAAAGCCCAGGGTACATATTCAAAATCCCTTCCGTGGATGCGTTAAATGCATGGTGGTGGACAGAAGGAGCTCCTGTTTTTCCATTTTACCTCTGCAGGGTGGACATCCTTTTACATAAAAAGTGAGTATTCTGGAACCACAGTATTCAGGGAAAGCAAGACAAAAACAAACAAGCAAAACAAACAGGGATGTGCGTAAAACAATGGTGTGAGGAGTGCCACATCCGCACGGTCAGCCTCCATAGGCCTGTTTGCAGAGTTTATGATCACCCATACATATTTTTTTCCTATTTGGATGTGTAAGGACACAGGCGAGCTGAGCTGGGGCTGGTGCCCTGCAGGGAGGCACGAGAGTGTGAGGCAGCGCCCTGCGCACCCATGAAGCCACTGAGCGTCACGTGTGGCTCTCGGCCAGGCAGCGCCTGTCACCGTTACAGCCAGCGTGGCTGCAGTGAAGCTAAGATCCAACACTCTGAACTTCGCTCTTGCACAGCGACCAGTGGGAGGGCTTGCCAGCCTCCGTGCGTGCCAGCCTCCGTGCGTGCCAGCCTCCGTGCATGAATTCTTTCCCTTCCTGCCTTAACAAAAACAACAAAACCTCTCCTCCTCCTTCCTCTCTTTCATTTCACTCTAATTCTTCTTTTTCTCTTTTCCCTCTTTCCTTCCCTTTTGCCTTCATTTGCAGTCAGTGTAAAACCTAGGCATGCCCCTTCTAATCCCCCGCTGCTGGTTGCCTAGAAGTGGTTAATACATTTGGCTGAAAAAAATGGGATTAAAAAAAATGTGTTTGACGTGTATTCAGCCTGTCCCTTCCAAGGCTGTCCGAGGTCACAACAGTTTGCTATGGAAATGATTCGGTGTTGCCGAAAAATGTGGCAGTGGATGATGAGAAAACCATGAGAAAAGAAAGATTTGGGGGGCACACAGGTGCTTTGCAAACAAAATCCACTCGTCAGCAGCCCTGTCATCAGAAATTGATGCCACCCTCACACTCAGCTCTGGGCCAAAGAAGTGGTTCTTAAATTTGTGGACCAATGTAGAGGTGCTATTACAGTTCTAATAGCACAGGTTCATTAACAGTTATTAGTACAATAAAAAATTCCAAATAGGAAAAATCAGGAAAGAGCCTGTCCAGGAGGGAGGAACAAGTTTTAATACCCACTGGGGGTAAATCCTCTCGAGGAGATTTGGAAAGCTCCCAGAGCATGTAATTTTGTACCATTCTTATTCTCAAACTCCTCTTTCACTGGTCCTGTGGTTGCACTAGCTACTTCTTTCCTTGAAAACGTGCAGTTGGAAAAATTGTTTTGTTCCATTTTATTTTATATTTTAGTAGAAGGCAGCTTTTCATTGTGCTTTGAAAGGTTGACAAAAATTGGCTAGAAAAGTCTGCTTGCTCCTGATAAATATATCCAAACATACATATAAGTATATTAATATATATACACACACACCCACACACACATTTATATAAACATGTTTATACATATGAATATGCATATGCACCTATATGGGTTGTGTGAAGAGCTTCCATCTTGAGTGCATGTGAGACGCCTTCTGCTTTGTCTTAAGGGTGCTCATGCAGCTCGTTGAAAAGCCCATTTGGTGAGGAGCAGAAATCTCCAGCTAACAGCTATGGGGAAACTGGAGCATGCCAGCCGTCACATGCGAGGGCTGACCAGAGACTCCTCTCCCGTCAAGAGTGGCTGATCAGGGTCTTTAAAGTTTTAGTTCAAGATCTAGGATGCACTGTGTTGGTTCATGCTACATTGCTTGCTTAAAATTTTGTTAAAGGAGTATCTGAGGGTGCTCCCTGGTGGCGCAACAGGTTAAAGCGCAGCATGTGAAGGTGGCTGCTGCTGCATGAGTTCGATCCCTGCCCCGGGGGTGACCCACAGGGCGCAGCAGACCTCTCCTGTCTCTCCCGCAGCTCCCCTCAGCAGTGGACTTTGTCAATCTGCCTGTTCTTCTCCCCACTCGGTCTCTGGCGAATCCTCTCAAACCTCTGCACCTCTGGCCTGTCCCCTCGTTCTGTATGTGTAAATACATAAATCTTAAAAAAAAAATGAGTACCTGATGTTAAGTGTTCTCACCATAGTTTTAGAAAGAAATTCAGGACGGAAGGGCGAGAGGGAAGGAGGTAAGAAGACAGTGAGGGAGAGAGAGGACAAAGATGTGAATGTTTCCATATTTGAGCTGACACTGCCGACCCTCACGGACAGCTTGTGTCGTGCATTTAAAATTTTGCACTTTTCATGTGACATGTCCTCACCATAGCTTGAAAAGGAAAAATAGATAAATCTTTCCATCGTAGAGCCTTCAGATGAGACTGCATCCCCAGCTTGTCCACAACCTCATGAGTGACAGACCTTGAGCTAGAACCACCCACCAGATTCCTACCTCACAGAAACCATCTGAGATAAATCCTTGTTCTTTAAATTGCTCACTTTAGGGACAATTTGTTACACAGTACTAGATTATTATATTTGGTCCCCTTATATGCACAGTGAGACTCATAATGCAAGCGTTACTGGGGAGATGAGTTAATGTTGACCAAATCATGGAAAAATTACCCAGTACAGAATAAATTCTTAGTAAGTATTAACGTGCTTATTTAAAATGGCAGTGAAACTCTGTATCAATTAATGATGGGGACACATTCTCAGAAATTTGTCTGTTGGGTGATTTTATCCATGTGCAAAATGTCAAGAGTGTAATTATACAGACCTGAATGGTACAGTCTACTACACACCTAGGTGCAGCCCATTGT